AATAAAGATTAATGTTTTAAATTTTTTTGAAACCAATTGTAATCTTCAAGAGATATTAATTAAAAGTAGAGAAAATTGCTAAAATTGTCATTTGTTTGACATTTTTTTTTAAAATGTCATTTATTTCAATACCCTAAACAAATGTCACAAATCACTGTTCATGATATGATAACTCTCTTTCTCTCTGAAGAAGGTGGTGGAGAAATCGGAAACAGTGGTGGTTGGTGAGACGGAGACGGTGGTGGTCACGGTGATTGTGAACAAAGACGGACAGAAACAGAGATGGCGACTATGAACAAAACCAGTGACGGAGAGGGCGGTTATAGAAAAAATAGAGACGAATACGGTGGTAGACAAAAATGAAGACGGTCGGTGTTGACAGAGAAAGTGGTGGACGACGACGGAGACAGTGACTGTGAACATAGACGGTGGCAGTGGACAAAGACGATAACATCGTGGATGAAAATGTATACCACAAAAATGTCTTTTTCATTTTGTAAATAGTGAATTGTGGCAGATTTTCGAGGGTTGAAGAAAAAATGATATTTCTCGAACATTTTTTCATATACATGGCATTTTTGGAAAAAATCCCATAAAAATATTTAAATTTTTGAATTAATATTGGTTAATAGTTTTAGAAAAAGTATTGAGTATCAAAAAATAATGCATTAATAGCTAAAAATTAATTTTTTGTTTAATTTGTATGAACAAGTCAAAACATCATTTTTTAGTTATTGAAAAATAGTTTTTATTAATAATATTGTTCTATCATATGCTAAAATGTCATTTGAGAATAATTTTCTCTCATACTTTGAGATTATACTGTATGTCGTTTATTATATTAATGTGTAAATAAATAACCTCGTTATTGTGCAATCCATCAACCACATTACATCCAGAATTTCAGAAAATAAATAAGTATGAAAAGCGTTAGACGTTAGTTGGTCTTTCAAATTCTTAAAACATTTGGTAATCTGCTTACAACTTTAATTTATCATTTTAATGATTAAAGCACATTATTAGGAGGATAAAAGGACGAAGAAGAAGAAAAGATTCGTAGAGACATTCACAAAAGGACGAGCAAAATTAATTTGTTCTGGATCTCCATCCTCGTTTCACGTTTACTAACTATGTTCCATTGTTCTCCACATATTCATTTATTTTAATTGTTAAGACATTCCTATATGCGTGTGTTTTACGCACACAGGTGGTTGTTAATTACTTCTTATTTTTTAGCGTACACAGAATTGTGAAAATATATACAGACCATAGTTTGATGGGTTGCTTTAGGCGATGGAGTGTCTAAGCGAGAGAAGACTATTCTCAGTGAAAATTGAGACGGATTGTGCAAACCTGATTTCCATGATGACGCATCCACTAGATTGACAATCTTTCAGTACAGAACTTGACTGTTTCAATCAA